CAACACCGAGGGTTGCGATCCCGTTGCCGGTCAGTAAAAAAGACAAAAAGGAAAAAAGAAACTATCACGTTCCCTACTAGGACTTAGATTGATTAAGTCATTTGACAGTTTCCTCACCAAAACAAGAAGAAAAAAGTGCATATATGAGCCAGTACACAAAGCCAGCTTCACTTTCTTCTCACCTTACGTTGCTTTCTCTTGTCACTATTTTGACCCAATAGGGATACAAAACCAAACTATAGCATCTAAGAGGCTATAAAGTTTGGGCCCCAAAGAGTTTTCTGGAAGCTCTAGCTTTCAGGACATAGGTTTTATGCAGACATAAGTCTACAAAAAGGAAATTATTTGAACTGAGACATTTTCCTCTTCATGGATCACTCAAGAACACGTTCATGTAAGATAAGAATGAATCAGGAGAGGCCAAGAGTGCTGTCTTCTAGATCCCTCCAGTCCTTCTGGGAAGACCTAAACTCCCTGACCAGTTGTTTTCCTAACTGCATTATCTGATGAAGGTGTGGTGTGATCTGAAGCACAAATCAGAGTTAATGCTCATTTATAACAAGATAAATCAACTCGAATGGTGGCAGAAAAAACTATAAGAGAACTTTACACACAAATTTTATTCTTTGAATTTTCTAAATCTGTTGACTAAGTTGAGCTATTTTGGTTACTTGACTGAAGTANAATTTTTTCCAAATTTTTTTTTTTTTTTTTTTTTTTTTTTTTTTTTTTTTTTTTTTTCCTTTTCGTCTCTTTTTTACTGACCGGCAACGGGATCGCAACCCTCGGTGTCGCGCTCGTACCGTGACCGACCATGGGATCGCAACCCTCGGTGTCACTCCCGCACCACGTTCAACCAGTGAGCGGACCGGTCTCTATATGGGATCCGAACGCTCGGTGGGAGTGCCACCGTGCTCCCAAGCGCCACACTCTACCGAGTGCGCCACCGGGCCGGCCCTCCAATAACATTTTAAATAATAATCTTTTTCTGTACTTTTCCTTTCCTTTTAATTCATTACTGACTCATGGAGACAGTAAATGCCTGCTGTCTATCTGGTACCTTGACAAATGCTGGACTTATAATCACTGGATCAAGAAAACCGAGAGAACCATTTTTGCAAAGTGAAAATAATATTTCAAAAAGAGTATTCTCAGTTATCTTTGCTCAACTACAGAGTTGCAGACATATTGCTGGAAGAAATTATAGATGATACATACGCCTTTGTAATTTTGGATATCTATCTCCCAAGTTTGGAAATTTAAAGAAAAACATGAATGGGCTACAAAGATCATTTTATATTTTTATTCTTACACTTAATTTAATATAAATAAAATCAATTAGAATAAGTATTAATACTCTTACAAAATTAGGAATACAAAGAACATACAGTGCTGGCCAGTTAGCTCAGTTGGTTAGAGTGCAGTGTTGATAACTCTAAGGTCAAGGGTTCAGATGCCCATACCGGCCATCCACCAAAAAGAAAAGAACATATTAAGGCAGGAAAATACAATAATTAGATTAATTTACGGCAGTCTAAAAGCTAGAGTTTGGGGTCATCTACATTAGAAAATGAACCGATTTCACCACTGAAATTTTCTTTACTATCCTAAAGATCAAATTCATAAAGAGTTTGTTTATCCATGAAGATCTCACTGCTCTACTCTATAAAATGAGCATAATAAGAGTACCATCATGATACAGTTGAAATAAGAATTAAGTTTGTACTTATATATACAGTAAGTATTTAACAAATGTTCTCTATTGTTACTATTATCTGTCTTTCTTGGGCACAGCTGTGTCCTCAGTGCCTGGCAATCCTAGTTCTTCTTATGGGAGGAACTCAATAAAGGCAAAGTATTATTTTTTCCAGGAGTAAACTAATGGAGAATTGTCAATGTAATTTTGAATAAGAATTTGGGCTTAAGGAAGGGAGGTGGCACTGGTAAAACCCAAGGTGAACATTTATAGCCTGACTCTCCTGTTTTTCCAAGATAAAGATTGCTCCAAAATTTATTCTATCTCAAGAATACCACATCTCAAAAGGAGAGAACAGAACTGAGACCAACAGAGGTTGGGGGGAGGGGGGTTAGTGAGAAATTGGTAAAGGGGCACAAAAAAAATATTTACATTGTGTAATGATAAAATTTTTAAAAATTAAAATATTTGTATATAAT